GATCAATAGCGACTCAATAGAAAAAGTCAATTAAGTTTCAATTGAGACTGAATGAGGTCTATTGAGTGAGTCCTCTACACTTTCAATTGAAAGTCAGTTCACTTTTTGTAAGGGATTGCAGTGGCGTTTTTCTGCGAGCAACACTACATTTGTTGGACGTTCTTCGTTCGTCACGTAGTAAGACCCCACTTTTTGCAATACTATAATTGAATATCGATAGCTTCTCGATGTATCGACTATAAAAAAAATTCAAGATAGTCGACTAGTGATGGTAGGAAATCGAGTTACACGACAGTCGACTATTGATAGTTTTACGATAGTTTACTGTGAATAGTAGTATATATAGCTTTAAGATAGTTGACTGTCGATAGCACTATCGAGTTTTTTTCACTACCGACAGTTATATTTGGATTCCACTATCGATAGTATTGCTAGTGCTACCGACAGTTTTGCATCACTAGTGTATGTGTTCGTTCGCGTGACCCTTCGCGTGCCCCTTCGTGTTCGCGCGTCTGTATGTAAGTGCACATGCGTGCTTCTGTGATCGTGTGTGTTAAGCGTGAGCATGCATGTGTGTGTTCGTTGCGTTCAGATGTCGTAGATAAAGCAACTGGACCCTGGGAAAGATGCGCAAAGCTCCTTTCATGGCCGCATTCGGTTCGCTGGTTGAGAAGTTTCCCCTTGACTTCTATATATTCTTGGTGAGCTTAGCTGAATCCGCTGGTGATGCGTAGCTTGATCGAGACGTATGCCCAGATTTTGATATTCACTCCTCTTCGTACCGCCCCCACATGTGGCGTCGGTGCTTGGAAGTACTGAAAAATAATTTGTCTTTGAAACACAAAACAGGAACAATATCACTTTCAGATGTATGTGGAGATGAGCATGATTGATAAGTTGATTGCACGCATAGTGCCAAAGACTCATATCTAGGCGAGGAACTCGTTCAGTACAATGATTCTCAATAGCGATCTTGAACAAGTTCAGAACGACACTTTCCAAGCTTCGAAGGTTTGAACGGACTTCGATGGCGATTGTCAAGGCAACTAGAATAATCAGCCAATCACCTTGCGTATTTTGTCTTCTGTATGTTATTATTTGTTTCTCTCCGACTATCTGGCGAGGAAGGCAATAGACCCCTTTCGAAGCAAAGCGCCCTCTATCGCATGCAAATGCAACCAGGTCCGGCGCCATTGTGAAGTGGTCCTGCTGGCGTAGTCTGATCGGTGCTTTGTGGACGACGATTCCCGGTCTGAGACGCGTGCTGCGTCAAGATGCCAACGCACTGCTGCGTGCCTCTCTGTACGCAGAATGGATACGTCGATGAAAGCGCAAAGAAGGTGCGTATCAGAAGAGTTCTAAAAAGTGTTCTGAAAAACCAAGTCCGCGCGCGCGATCCTTGATGCGGTTTGTGTTCGCGTTGCTGAGCCTGACTTTGACGAGCGTCAGTTCAACTACTTTCTCCTCAGCTTTTGCAGGCCTGATAGAAAACGATCTTATCACCCGTGGGCATGAATGTCGCACACGATAATCCGGGCTTAAAAGTTGTAAATGGGCCCGCGGCACCCTCCGTGGCAACCATCGCTTTAAATCGTACGGCGAGTTGATCTGTCGGTGGGCCCCTTATCGGTAGGCTCCTTCCGTTTACTTGCAACTCGAAAGTTGACACCCGGGATAGGAGCGTAGAGCTAGATCATGTGTACACCGCAGCAGAAGGCGTAGTGGAACCAAAGGCCTCCGAGGGATCGCCGGAGCATTCCATTTTAAACGTTTAGCTCGCCTCAGCAAGGCGGCAGGGCCGTACCGCTTAACATTTGGAGATGTCGAGCTTTTGTTAGAATTTATACCAGCAGGCATAAAATATAACAAATGCTCGTGATAATTTGTAATCATAATACATAACCCACATTTATTAATCTATAACAAATTGCGTTGCTAATTTGTAATTTCTGAGAATGGTATTTTTGATACACTACCTTTTTAATTTGCAGGTGTCCTTCCATAGATTCCCCAAATTGGAGGAAGTCTACCGGAAGTGGATAATTGCTATCAAGCGTGACGAAGGCACATCATTCAAGGTGTCGAAGGCAACCAAAGTGTGCTCGAGGCACTTCGTAGAAAGTGACTTTGTGCGGAATGTGGCTAACGGGCACAGGCTGCTTTATGAGCATGCTGTGCCGTCAGTGTTCAGCTTTAAGAAGCCGCAAGTTGTCAGGAAGCCTCCAAAACAGAGAACGTCAACTGTACCACAAGCAACGCAACCCGAAGCAGACTTGCTACAACCCGAAGCAGACCTGCAACAATCAGAAGACACCACCACTGCCCCCGAGCTGCCAGATGAAGATCCTGGAGCGAGCCCAGTGCCCATGGAACCGCCAGTCTGCACGTGCAGCTTGGAGCCCGAGCTCGAATTAAGGAGGGTAGCAGAGAGGAAGCTGCACAGTGAAATCGAATTGCTGCGAAATGAACTGAAAGAAACCAAGGCCGAAGTGTACCGACTGAAAGCCGAGCTCCAAAGAGCTCTAGCAAACTGCAAGGTGCTAGAGGAGAAAAATGTGCCTTTCAGCATTGAAAAATTCCAAGAGAGCGACGAGGACATTCAGTTTTACACCGGACTACCCAATTATGGTACCTTCATTGCTTTCCTCGAGCTCATTGACGCTGGAGAGAATGGTAAAAATATTATTATGCGATCCGGAGTTAGCTTGCATGCTTCAGAAAAGGCTGGACGGCCACGTAAGCTATCGGCAAAGAATCAGCTGTTTCTTGTTCTGGTTAAGTTGAAAGGTGGCATGTTCCATAAACACCTGGGACATTTGTTCGACATTTCAGTAAGTACTGTGTCGAAACTGTTCAGCGCGTGGATGAGCTTTTTGTATCTCCATCTCACGAACCTGGCTCTCTGGCTACCACGAGAGACCATCGACGGCACCATGCCACCAGCTTTCAGGGAAAAGTATCCGACAACTAGAGTCATCTTAGATGCCACAGAGATTAGGTGTGAGGTGACAAGCTCGTTTGTAACTCAGTCGGGGACGTACTCGTACTACAAATCTACGAACACGTTTAAGGGCCTGGTGGGCATTTCACCCAACGGCCTGGTGACATTTGTGTCCGAGCTTTTTATGGGTTCCGTTTCTGACAAAGAGACTGTCATCCAGAGTGGCCTTCTTGAGATGCCCTTTGATAAGGGCGATTCTGTCATGGCCGACAAGGGCTTTAAGATTGCCGACCTCCTCCAAAAACTTGGCGTAGCACTCAACATTCCTCCATTTTTGAATCGAGGCAAGTTCTCCACCGAGGAAGTCGTAGAAACACAGGACATCGCTGCCCTCCGGATTCACGTTGAACGCCGAATCCAGAGAATTAAGTCCTTCCACATTTTCGACCGCCCTATTCCCATCTCGTTGGCACCCCTTGCCAACCAAATATGGACTGTATGCACAGTCCTCACTAACATGCAGTCCCCACTCATCAGAGACAGTGAGTAAACTGCAAGGTAACTTGTAATGCTCATTGCAAAGCTGATAGCTTCGATTGTTCAAAGGTAATTTATTGTTTAAAGGGATACTACAACAAAAATTCAACGCTCATTTTTTGGTCTATATATGTGTTCAAAGGAGCAGTATCACATCGAACATACCAATGCCTTGCTAAAAAAGTCTCGAAAAGGAATTTTAAAACAAATTAAAGGAGTAACAAAGAGCACCTGGTGGATTTCGCTGACGCCTCGTTAGTAATGCTCGTCTAGGAACCTTGACAGCTAGTGATGGAGGTTGTCTCGCCTCCGGCCACGACGAAAGAAGAGGGGAACGAGGTATTCCTCTCTTCCCGAGAATGCCTTTTGTGTGTCGCAGAAGTCGCTATTGTCCCTCTACAAGATTATAGAAGATTAACCCGTCACTCAAAATTCATACAAAGCAGCTGCTTCGGTTGCTGGAACGACTAGGCCATTCTCTCAACGTCAGCCTCGCCATAGCTTTGCTCGTCCCAAGACGAACTACGTCACTATTGCGTTGAATGTCACGTTGTGTCCGCTGGGCCTTCTCCGAGCGCTTGCCAGAGTGGGCCGTCTATAACGAAAAATACAACCACCAAGCTCAAAATACAAACGTGCGATTTTTTACGGATATTGTGGATCATATTCAACCTATCTTTGAACACAACGGAAATATTTAAAAATATGTTGAAGTATCCCTTTAACTGAAGTGAATTCACACTGAACGGATTCGTGAGCCTCACTGCAGATTTGTGTACTGTTCCAGTTAGGAGAGAGGGCGAAATAAAGACTGAGTAGACAGAAATGTCGGCGATTGTCACACTTAACGAATCAAGTGCACCGTGTCTGCATGTTTGCCAAGCCCTGCTAATATTGCTTGTCAGTGCACTTCCACCTTGTGAATAAAAGACTTCTAAACACTTACCATCTATTTGTTGTTGGCAGTCATTAAAGCCCTTAGCACAGAACATTTAATTAGTAAGGGGGCGGTAGCTTTTACAGTTTGCAAAGCTATTGTGAAAAGAGAATAGTACCCTCACCTAGTGTGTTTACCGAGACAGATAAAATGGCACATGCAATGGGTCAAAATCGTTTATGCAAAAATGTTCCAAAAGCCAAGACTCGTGATGATTCAACGCATAACACCGACTTGAGAAAACAATACTAACAATTTAATCGGCTGTTTCGTCCCAATTTGGAAGACATCGTCAGTGTGCGCCAGGAAACACAAATAAAAAGTCCAGCAACCAGTTCACTATTTAAGGATGCCTGCATACACTTCGGGGAGGGTGATCATGGAGGTGCAGCAACGGGTACGCCTTTTAAGTGTGGGAGAAGGGGGGGGGGGGGGGGGGAACGCGGTGCAATGCTAACCACAGTTCCCTCTACGAACTATGTGGACGTCCTTAAATAGTGCACTAGTTGCTGTACTTTTTATTTGTGTTCCCTGGCACACACTGACGATGTCTCCTGAATTGGGACGAAACAGCTGATTAAATTGTTAGTATTGTTTTGTCAAGTTGGTGTTATTTGTTTAATCAATCCTTTATTCGGAACACGGAAGGCCCTATCTTGATGTTAGACAACTACCTGCTGCACTCCAGGTGAGGCAGCAGCACGTTGAAGTAAAAGTCTTCGAGCTTCGCACTCACGCTCGCCCATTCGCCCGCATTGAACCTTATTCTCTCGATGAGTATGAAGTGCTTTGCGTAGACAATGAAGTCCCCCCACTGTAGCCCGGAAACAGCCATTTGTCCAAGAACTTGGAAGTGATGGGGGTGGCTGTCCTTTAGCTTTGACTGGTCCTGGTCCACTTTGGAGCAGAAGTCCAAGTGCTCGAGCTCGTCCGCAGTCTTCAGCCAGAGAGACGAAGGGCACTTTATCTCCACGATGCCATGAGGAGGGTCTTCGGCAGGATCATACACAATCCTGTCCGGTGACGCTCCAAGCCATGGAGCTTCCGGGTCAACAAAAAGTCCACAGCCGCTGACTGTAACTTGGTGCCCCAATCCTTTTAGGATATCTTCGTAAAACCTTGCAGCGACCGGCTCGTTGATGATGCCGTGCCTGAAAAATTAGATATGGGTTATATTACCACCCAGATATAAATGACGATGCTGTGTCTGCATACCATGTTCCCATTTCTTCAGCCCAGTGCACACTAGCGGGCACAGGCTGCTTCACAAGCCTGCTTTGCCATCAGTGTTCAGCTTGAACAAGGTGCGAGGTACCAAGAGGCCTCCGAAACAGGGAACACCATGAATCACACCACAAACAATGCAACCCGAAGCAGGCTTGCAACAACCCAAAGGCACTACTAGTGTCGCCTCACACTGAAGAGATTTGACAATGCACTTTGGGGAGAAAGCTCAAAGGCCAAAATAGCTCAAACACGTTGTTCAAGTCATAGCAGTGTAGCAGCCGTGCCAGCTGTACCACTGGAGCGAAAGAAAAGAAGCCGAGGCGCACGGAAGAAGACCACGAGACACTAGCTTTGCGATTCGGCGACCGAGCGGACCGGCGGCTAGATCGGACAATGTTTTCTACTGTTTTGGTTTTCTTGTAAATATAGTATATAAAAATATGTTGAGTGCCACCTGACTGGTACCCACAGCAGATTCTGCATTGGGTTGCACAATTTTTTTATTATCGAAAACAATTATGTGCACTTTCAGAGGCATTGACAGTAGAAATTCAGGGTATGATGAAAACAGCTCTAAGTGTGCTTATATGGATGCACAAGATCTATAAACAGCAGCCAAACTCTGTTCACTGCTAAGTTGACAGAACGATAGAAGCTATGTGTATGGCAGACCAGTAAGTGTCGGCTTTGCGCCACACAATCAGGGTCCCTGCCTATACGAGCGCACAGAGTCAAGCAATAAAAGACTGGAAGAAATTTATCCTCCGAGTATGTAGCCCCCGCCGCCCTGTCAGCTTAGGTGTGAATGGAGTACAAGTATATTTATTTTCAAATGATGCTCATTTGTTTTAAGGGAACAAAATAGCACTTTTTTATTACGGTTAGTTGAGTCACTGCCTAGTCACTGCCGTATTTGCCTTTAAGTTGTTCCCACGCACAGTCCTCCGCCTCTTGTTCACAAGCCCCTTTTTTACCTCTCCTATATTGTACATCATCTGAGGAAATAGTCTTCCTTTCTCGCCGAGTAAAATCACTACGGTGAAACTATTCTCGCCAAATCTGGCCCATAACATTTATAGGTTTAAAGCAGTTCGCAAGATATTTCCTCTTGATATAGAATGATGTATTGCATATCTATACACTATGCTTGCTGCTTTGGACCTTGACCTAATATTCAGTTTGGTATGTATTTAAAAGCAAATGCTGTCCTGCCAATAGGGTGGTTTCGTGCGACATACTTCTGGTTCAAAATCTTGCCGGAAAGGCGCACAATCGGGGACGTATTTCCTTTCCGTAACACATCGCTTACTCTGTTTTTGTTCCTTTTAAAGTAACCCTCGACGTGTCTTTTAAGGCCGTTTCGGTCAATGGCACCCGTCTGCTAACACGTCGGCATGTCCCACACTCTTTCATATTTAGCGTGCAACGCTGTCAAAGCTACTGGCGCGAGCGCGTGGCTTCATTTATGGTTTTGTTTGCGCGAGAACGAGTGCAAATGATCAACAAGATCAAGCCCCATGCTCATGCCAGTAGCTTTGACAGTGTTGCACGCTAAGCATGAAGCAGAGTATAACTCCGAATAAAGACCCGTACGTTTGAAAATCGGGTACCAGCTGATATTTTTTGTTGTTGCCGACTGCCGTTGGAGTGCAGACAATCAAAACACCAAACAACTTAAACAAGAAAGGAAAATCAACCTCACAGCATCCGTTCATAAGAATGCGTAGGGACAAAACTTACACCAAAATTCGTCGTCGACGGAACCACTCGCTGTGCTTCTGAGACTCACCATAACCACAAACAATGCCAATAAGCGATGAGATGTCAGAAGACATACAGTGGTGCCTACGCCGGGGAAAGCAACACGGCAGCAGAGTGCAACACCAACATGTTCAATCATTACGCACCGGAAGTAAAACTGTGTTTCGTGAAATCGCCCTATAGGGTGATTCCTCTGGCTCATCAAACCTCGGCTCTGCACTAAAAACCTTTCAAGCTTTACTGTAGCACATATCTTTCTTTGGATCTAGCTTCAGAAGGGGCTTCACTGTCATGTACAAGCCCTGTGTCTCAATGGTATACTCACTGGTCGCTTTCCAGCGCTCCCGCCATCTAAATCTGATCTATGAGACACCGGAGCGCACCTGAATCTGAGCGAGACAGACAGTGCGCCATTCGAACGCTCGTGAAGTTTTCCGAGTGGCGAAAAGCAAGCCGTGCCGAACGGAAGTTTCTGCGAAACTATCATACAAAGCAACGTTACAGCCTCAAAACTTCCTCGTACTTTGGTTCTTACCTCTCTGTCAGAGTAGATCCTCATTACTGCGAAAACATGAGCCTTCATTTTGGGCACTGTGCATGGCACTTTGAACAATTGTGCAAACTGTTTCCCCGTTGGCTTCGTAAACACAACCGTCGTCGTTGTCGTCCGAGCTGGTGCTATCACTGCTGTCTGCTAGGTCGACAGCAGCAATGATGCAATGCCCCATCAGCATTAAACGCCATATGGGGAGCACAACACAACGCTGGGATCGGTGCGGCATTTAGGCACGACAAGTCTGTCAGCCATTCTCTTTCAACCGAACAATGGACTGGCGGAATGGCTGGAGTGACGTGACCGGTTGGCAGCATGTCTGCATCCTGCACGCTCCCACTTCAAAGTCAGAGCGCCTCAAATCGCTACAAATTGGAGGAATATGAGAGTCGGAGCTTCGATAGCGCCCTAAAAGAACCAGCCGAACATACTTGGAGCGCCCAGCATCGACCAGCTAAGTGCACAGCGGCTTTTCAGAGTGCTCTAAAACACTGGAAGCAACCAGCCGTATATACATGAAAGTAGTCTGCCTGAACACAAATTGATGAAGGAATGAGACAGATGTGCCTTAGCAAACATAGAAACACCTTAAAAGGATGCTGAACCGAAATCTGGATTCCACAAGGCACGGCAGCAAAAGCGTACAAGGGGATGCTACAAACATCAAAACATCACTCATACAACAATATATCAAACGAATTACCATATTTTTCTAAAAAAAAAAAGGAGGCTCATTTGACAGTTATGTTTATGTCTTGTTTCTCCGAGGAGAAGGGAATGGCCTCGTGTCTTCTCCGCCTCGCCGCCTTGAGGGGGCGAAACCAAGGGAGGAGGAAACGAGATATCTTGACGTCACGCGCCTCTACAGCCTCGTTCAATCTCAACCTTTTTTCCCCCAAAATATGGCCGTCGATTCGAGATGTCGCCTTACGAGCAATGTTGTAGGGATTGTAGCGTCCCGCCTACAGCTCCTGCATTGTTTTCTGAAATCAAAATTGTGGTTCCCCATCTCTTTAACATTTGTGGTTTTTGTTAACACCTCACCTGACAGCAGGAACTTTTGATATGTCTCTTGGGGTGACGAGGGCATCCAGACCCTTGTCAGTCCACACTGCCCTTCGGAAGGCTGTGCCGAAGTGGGATGCTGTCAACCGCAGCTTGCGCTCTTTACACCACGTGGGACTCCGTGACTGCTGCCTCGTATTCCTCTCGAGGTCTCTCGCCTGCTGTGCTGTTAGCTGCAGGCTCTAGAATATACAAATAAAAAAACAATGCTGAAATAATGAACCAGAGCATTTTGTAGTGCAAACTGTTTAGAACCAGATAAATTTATGACTGGTCCTATATAGATGCAAAAATCCCAAAAGGCCGCTCGCTTGGTTACGTTGCCTCACGTCAACCACTGTTGGCTGCTTTAAACGGTTTGTGACAGTGACTCCCAGAATATCCCTCGGTGCCGGTGGAGGGAACTGCACCTTTTGCAACAATTTACATGCACCTTTGCATGAGGGACCAAAGTTATTCATTTCATAAAGGTGCTTTTTGGTCCTGGTCTGCTCAATTGTGGACTTACCGACAACTGTATAGTCAACGTGAGTAAAGCTGCAGTCTTTATTTCAATTCACATCAGCTCTAGCATGCCACTGAGCTTCAAGATTAGTTTGTTGGCATTGTGTGCGAGCATATCCCACCCATTACGAACATAGGGTAGTCTCAATAACGCCATTTCAAGAACTATTCGTGCGCATACTCAAGTGCAACAACATTAAAACAAACACATAGCCCCCAGCTGCCCCCCCCCCCCCCCCCCCTGTAACATAAGAACAATATTATCAGTGAGAATACGATGCGGCAAGCAGAAATGCGTCTCCATAGTTTTCCGTGCACACACAGCAGTGGCAGACCTTACAACCGCACTTCAATGTGATGTCATACAATTGTTCGCTGTATAGTGGCATTTACAATAACGATCTGTATCATTACCTCCAAAATCTCGTTTCCCAGGAACGGAATGGAAATCTCCCATGGTTCCCTTCCACGGAAGAACTGGCATTCTTGTGGGGCTTGGTAGGGGTGGCTTGTGCACTGGGGGATATTGGTGATGACCTTGAGTCCATGGGGGAAGACAGGCTGCTGGTACGCCAGCGGTGCAACAGCCAGTGCAGGGCCGAACTTCGTGTCCTTCGAGGTCTTGTCTTGCACTTGAAGCAAAGCTGCTGCAAAGTCAGTACAGCTGCCAAGGCTGAGGAGTGTTTCCGCAAACTTCCCCGTAGCAGCTTCTTGCTGCTCCTGGCTTCGGGGAGCCACCCTGCTCTCATAGAGGCGGGACATAAGTGGGGTGTCCTGGCCGCCCTCCCTCACACATCTCCAGTCAACTAACTGGATCGAAGTGCCGCGGATGTGAGGCCCTCGAGGTACTCTCCACTGTTGCGGCAGGTCCGTGCAGGACAGCTCTGCAGGTGCCTCGCTGAAGCCTTTGGCCTGCAAAAGTGCTACGGTCCGAAGCAGCGCCATCAGGTGGTTGCACGCCACACCTCCAGCAGGGCAGTCACAGTTTCCATCCAAGAGTTGGCCTTGCACGTCTGTTGCTGCCATCACCGTGTAAGGAGGCTGAGTCTTTTTTTTGCTGCGGAAGCAGGAGCCCTTCAGGTAGAAACGTCCTCCGCTGATTGGAATAAAAGAAAT